CTATTTATGATAATATTTCGATTGTCAATTAGGAAGTCAATTTAAATCCGATTTAGACCGGATTTTTTGGAGATTGCTTATTTTATTTCGAATTTCAATTTAGAGTGATTTTCGGGATTTTGCTATTTTTAGCAAAATTCGAATAAAGACGATTTTTGGCTATAACAGTCCGGCTTGTGGACTGATTTTGCCATTGTTTGATTTGATAATATTTTATTAAACCCTAGAGACTTTTTTTCTCTGGATTTTTTTGGGCGAATTTTCTCTTGTGAATCATCTGTTGGAGCGCTTGCAGGATAATCACTATTCTGTCTGGCGTCACATTTCATCCCAAACATTAGTCATTATAGTTGTTCCGAGCCTCACCTTCATCGTAGTGCTTGTCATACTTGGAATTGTTGTTCTTCCCATGAGGATCAAGAAAAAGAAACAGAATGATCAAAGTAAGTTAGCCTTTGATTTTATTTTTGTTTTACTGTTGTAGTCTTATAACAAAAGATAATTTACTAATAATCAATCCTTTGCAATGTTATGTAACTTAAATGATTCTTTGTTAACCTGTAGATAACAAGATGCACGTTGAATCGCTGCAAATCGACTTTCATGCAGTGAGAGCTGCAACAGAAAACTTCTCCGATGCAAACATGCTTGGACGAGGTGGATTCGGTCCTGTTTATAAGGTAATTGAAGACTTGCTATATGAAAATTTCCATCATCTCAAAGCAAAAAGACGGAATGAATATGTGACAGCGAATACTAGGAAATAATAGTTGTTATTTTCCCTCACTGCTCCTTGCTCTGAATTCTATCAGGGTAAGCTTGAAGATGGACGAGAGGTAGCTATAAAGAGGCTGTCAGTAAATTCGGGCCAAGGAACACGAGAATTCAAGAACGAAGTCATGCTATTGGCGAAGCTTCAACACAGGAATCTGGTTAAGCTTCTTGGTTTTAGCTTCGAACAAAAAGAAAGGGTTCTAATCTATGAATTTCTTCCCAATTCAAGCCTTGACAACTTTATATTCGGTACCGTTTCAATCCTTCTAAACTACACCTATTGAATATGCATTGTAGTCCTATAATTTTACGAGTTTTGCAGATCCAGTGAAGCGATTACTACTAAACTGGGACAAGAGGTACAGAATTATAGAGGGAACTGCCAAGGGACTCGTTTATCTTCATGAAGATTCTCAATACCGGATCATCCATCGGGACTTGAAAGCAGCCAACATATTGTTGGATGAAGAGATGAGTCCTAAGATCTCAGATTTCGGAATGGCGAAATTGTTTGTGGTTGATCAAACTCGAGCCGATACAAGCAAAATTGTAGGGACCTAGTAAGTATTAAGAATGATGAGATTTATATCTAGTTTGTTACATTATTCATTGAAATGTATTCGTATATGCAGTGGATACATGGCTCCAGAGTATGCATGGCATGGTCAATATTCAGTTAAATCTGATGTTTATGCCTTTGGAGTGTTGCTTTTAGAAATCATTAGTGGGCATAGAATCAACAGCTTCACCAACCAAATACGAGAGACACTGCTTACCCATGTAAGATCTCCATACTCTGGTTACGGTAGATAATGGAATAGATGTTGCTAAAAAACAATGTAAGTTCATAACGTCGAACATATGCAGGCATGGAGAAACTGGAAAGAAGGGACTGCTTTGGAATTTGTTTATCCGATTCTGAGGGATGGATCGAGAAGCGAAATAATGAGATGCATCCATCTCGGGTTGCTTTGTGTTCAAGAAAACATTGCTTATAGACCAACCATGACCTCAGTGGTTCTCATGCTTAGTAGCTATTCCATGTCTCTTCCGGTTCCATCGAGACCTGCATATTGCATATCCAAGACTCTGTCAATGAGGCTTCTATTTCGGAACTAGATCCTCGATGAAGTTCGAATAAGTACTTGCATTGCATATCTTCTGTACTTTATGTTTTCTGTATGATTTATTACGAAATTCAGTGATAAATACATGATGATTTGAGCACTGGAACCTCCTTGTTGACTGATTCAACCCCATTTCTGAAGCTACAGCTTTTATTCGTGTCTTTGTACCAAAAAAGAAATAGAAATTCTATCGTTATTGATGCTGAATCCTTGTTTCAATAGTGATGGTGATGGTGCAGCATATTGTGCGTGTTTTTGGTGTTGAATTTGGTAAGCTGATATTTGGGTTAATGTCGTGGCTGCCTTTTAGACTTTTCTAGGGTAAACTCAAATAACAGTCACTAAACTTTGGTCATTTTCATTTTGGTTATTGAAATTGAAAAACTTTCATTTGAGTTACTGCCATTAACAAAAAAGAAATTATTTCGATCACTGTGTTATTTAACCATTAATAAAAGCTGACGTGACACATTAAAATAATCCTAATGAACCGGACATTATTTGCTCTTTTCGCCGTCATATGGTAGTTTTTTCAATAAAAAATTATTATTTTTTTCTTTCTTTCTTTCAATTAATAACATTATAATCTCATCATATCTCAATCGAAATTAGAAAATAATATTTTTATCGGTTAATGTTTAATTTGTTGAGTAGTTTGTGGCTATTTTGTGGTACTTGGGAGCTGTTATACGCGTCTAGTTGCTACGTTTATCAACTTTTCCAAAGTAATTCCATGTTTGTCGAGAAAAAAAATCTATGAAGTAATTAAAATCAATTAATCTAAACATTTAAAATGTAAATAAAAACAATCTTAAATTTATAAACAAATAAGTTAAAATAATTTCCATTTAATAAAGTAGATTAAGAAAAGTCAAAATAAAATTTGAAACTTTTTTGGTCCCCATTTAATGCTAATTTACGAAATGGCTTAATTGCTTTTTTCTTTTCAAAAAAGTTTAATTTAATATTGGGTAAAGTACATAAATAGTTTCAAACTTTTAGGACACTTGTATTTTGTTCACCTAACTTTTAAAACTTGCAATACAATCATCAAACTTTTAGTTCATTTTCAGTAATATCACTGATAATACCTCTCATTAGTTTTATCCGAGGTGACAGTTGCTTCCATTAACTCTCTTCTTTTCTCTCTTCTTCTTCTTCTTCTTCTTCTTCTTCTTCTTCTTCTTCTTCTTCTTCTTCTTCTTTTCTCTTCCTCCTCGACAGCTAAATAACTAACTATTACCGAAAACTAAACGAATGCACATAAAATAGTGAGCAAAAGAACTGTAGTTCACAAATCCATCGTCTTCTCCATATCGTCTAGACTTGATTCGTCCAGCTTCTTCAATGGCTACATGGTACTCCTATAGCTCGAAGATGACTTCAACTCTTACAATTCTTCTTCTTTCTTCGTCCCTAAGTTTGACACCAGTTTTAACCCGTCACTCGGTGATATCAATGGCAATCATGCCGGTGTTAATGTTAACTTGGTTGTTTTTTTGGCCTCGATTGATGTTTTGTTCAAGGGGTTGATCTCAAAAGTGGAAAAATAATAGCTTGGATTGAGAACGGTGATTCAACCAAGTAAGTTCAAATATGGCTTAGTTATTCATGGATTAAGCCTACAAGTCCTTTTCCTGTTGCACGAATCAACCTGAGGAACCAATTTAAAGAATATTTGCATGGGGCCAGATGCATTAAGCCACTTAAGGGTCAAGTGTATCCCGATAATTTGAAAATGATTTAGCCTAATGCGTTAAAGAAAATGAAAAATTCTAAATTTTTAAGAAAAGAATACTAAATTTTTAGACATTTTTTTTTAATTTCTGGATCCACCATGTTTGCATGTTGAATTCTCGACTTCGAATGGACTTGATTCATCGATGCACAACATTGACCATTGACATTTCAAAATATTCACCACTTCCATTGAATTAGGCTATTGTTTCATGTGTTTTCCATAGGATTCATCAACCATTAATGATCCTCATAAAATCAGACTAAAGATTGGGAATATGTGGATTCTATTAGGGTCTTTAGTGGCTTTTGTCGTCGTAATAATGTCAGTTTCGGTCATCTGTTTCATCGTAATGAGGAAGAAGAGTGTTAGACGAATATGTTTTTTTAAAATTTTTAATTCAATATTTATGGGGGTGATAGATTTATTATTCTAAAAATAAATAATAAATTAACGGTTAGGTTACAGTTAATAACTGCTATAACCATTCTAATTATTGAAATTTTTTATTTATAGGTAATATCTTGTAATTCTATTATCAATATTTTTTTTAGATAATTCCATTTCATTACCCAAGAAAAACAAGAAACCTGCTACGTAAACAACAATTTAACTCCTGCTAGTACAAACATCAAAAGAAACAACCATTACAAGTGACCCCCAACCTTAAGAAATACCCCATTTTTTATTGAATAGTTTCTTTGATGTCCTTCAACACATCACCCACCAGTCTAGCTTTGCCCCCAAAAAACCTACTATTTCTCTCCTTCCAAATGCCATACAAATGACCAGCTCAAGCAAGCTTAAACACCCTCACAAGGAGAGATTTCCCTTTAAAACAGTGAACAGCCCATGCCAACTCCCTATCCCAATAGTTAACCCTACGAGTTACACCACACAAAGTAAGGATATCACCCCACAACTCCCTCGCAAAACCACAATCAAATAACTAGTGATCCCTAGTCTCAGCCTCAGCACCACAAAGCACACACTAATCACTGTTAATGCTTAATCCCATCCTCAAAAGTCTTACCCGAGTAGAAAGCCTATTACCTATATTTTATTGATAGGTTACAGTTCATATTTTAGGTTGCAATTTAATTATTTATTAAATACATTAAAAGATTCAAGGCGCAGTACAACATGTTACGTTACCATCGAAACCATATTTATTATAATATAAACAGTTAAAGCCTTATAACCCGTAACAGAGTTGCACTACACGTGTCCATACAAACCAAATTAAAACATATTATACTTACTAAAGATCAAGATGAAACAACTTACAGTTAATTTAGATAAATTTGGAATCGTACTTCAGGAGAATGTGAACTCTCCTCAGAGAAGAAGCTATAGCTGAAATGACGAAAAATGTCCCAACAAGATGGTCACTTGCAGAGATCAAGTCAGCCACACTGGGTTTTCATAGGAACAGGATTGTTGGTGAAGCTATAGGCTCATGTTACAATGTTAATTTCCAGTGCACTCTAGCAGATGGTAATGAAATTGCAGTTAAAAGGCTGTCGAAAACTTCGAGTCAAGGGCTGCTTGAGTTCAAGAATGAAGTTATGTTAATTGCCAGATTACAACATAGAAATCTTGTGCGGCTCTTGGGATGTTGCTTACAGGAAAACGAAGAGTTGCTTATATATGAATTCACGCCCAACAAGCCTTGACGTGTTTCTATTCAGTTTGATTCTTCAACCTTTCGATACCAACATTATCTCATTCATAAACATAACAAATTTCAATGTTTGCTTAGTCCATTTTTTTCTCTTTTTCGAGATTTATCATATTCGAGTTTAGCTGCACAACTGACTTGGCAGAAACGATTCAACATCATTAGAGGAACTGCCAGAGGTATCATGTATCTGCACGAAGATTCTCGCCTTGGAATCATCCATAGGAACTGCCCGAGTATGCTATGGAAGGGCAGTTTTCTGTCAGGTCTGATGTTTTCAGTTTCGGAGTTCTTTTGCTGGAGATTATAACTGGTAAAAGGAATAACGGGTTTCATTTATTGGAACGTGGTGAAAGCCTCTTGATTTTTGTATGTTCTCTCATCCGATCTTCAATGAATAGATTAATCTGATATTATATACAAGAGGCTAATTCTAAGTGATGATTGTAGGCATGGAAACTATGGTCGAAAGGTGAAGCAATGGAGCTAATAGAAGAGCATCTTCTCAAGTCGAGTGTGCCGACTGAGGTGCTTAAATGCATTCAAATCGGCCTATTGTGCGTGCAAGCTGATCCGGTAGACGGACCAACCGTGGTTGCCATGTTGGGAAAGGACACCATAACGCTGCCTCTACCAGCAGAGCCTGCATTTTGTGTTAGACGTATTGTTGCAGAACAAATTCAACCCAATGCAAGTGATAGAATCTGTTCTGTTAATGAGGTTACGATTTCAAATATGTCACCTCGGTGATCGATTATTTCAAGTATATGATTGTTCCTGAAAAATTGTTGAGTTTTTCATTTTGGCTGAATGGACCTTACTGAAATGTACATCAACGTTTGAACAAAACAGTGGCATATATGTTAATTAATGGCAAATAGTATATAAAATGGGTAAATTACACAGTGAATCACTAAATTATTATTTTTTTCTACAAGTTTGATCACTAACATTATATTTTTTTATTGTGGCCACGGATAAACAAATAACGGAGATCATTATGTGATATGATATAATAATAATATCAGTCCCTAAAATTTATATATTTTTATCAATTCTATCATGTTTTGAGAAAAAAACAGTAAATGAACTTGAATATATAAATAATCCATCAATTTGATCCTCATTTTAATTATAAATAATCATCTTCATTATTTGTTTAACGAACAGCGAACAAAGTAAAAAAAACTTAACATTATTGATCAAATTTGCAGAAAAATGTAGTTTGATGATCAAAACAGAAAATAAATAATAGTTCAATGACCATTTGAACATAGTTTACCCTAAAGGCGTGGTCAAATATTGAACAGACCAAACAAACTTCGAAGAAAGCGGGAACGATGGAAAAAGCATTCCAATGTTGAAGACACAACAGCAAAACCGTGTTTGGTCGGTTAAGCAGACTTTATGTTGGACAAATCATAAAGACAAGTTCCTTGGCGTGTCTCTTTAACTGTCCACTTCATCCTCTTAAAGAAAGAAACATGGAAATTGATTATCTTGAGTGATCATAAAATAGTATTTATTTAGAATATTTTTTTTAGTTATGGATAATATATGTATATCATGTAGATGTAATTATTCGAATTAAATATATTAAAAAAATAATACTTCTTTTCATCATTGAAACCGTTGTTCATTCTATCATTAAATTTGTTTCAATGCAAATGATCATTATTAATTTATTACTTGTATGGTTTGCATAATTAAGGTAGGGCTGGAGTCCTAAAACAATAAGCTCTATTAATCAGCTCAATACATTGAGTACGGAAAATCGGTTGAAATGTTTGCGTAAGAAAAGTCACTGAGAGGGACGAATGTAAGATTTTATTTACTAGTGAATTTATAAATTATTAATGGTAGAAATTATAAAATTTTAGAGATTACAGAAATAAATTATCAATAAAAAATAAAAAATAAAAAAATACTTAAATTATTTGAAAATTTACAATTTTTAAGAGACCATCGCGGCAACTTTATGAAATCATCATTAAATAAATTAAACTTTTAAAAATATTACTAGATAAAATACATCAAAGGTCATTAAACTTTGTCCAAATGATTATTTTTGTTTACCAGACTTTCAAAAGTTATAAAATAATCATTAAGTTTATTGAATTATTACAAAATGATCACTGCAATGTTATAACATTTATAAAAAGTTTGATATATTCAATTTTCATTTTTAATAATTTGATAAAATTTAATGATCATTTTATAACAATTTGATAAAATATAATAACCATTTTAACTATTAGATAAATTTAATAATTATTTTGTAAGTTTTGAAAGTTTAATGGCCTAAATAATCATTTCAATAGTATAGTGACCTTTAGTGTACTTTACACTAATTTTTTTTGTTTACTGGATAAATTTTTTAAAAGAATAATCTAAAAATTTAGAATTTGATTATTTTTTTATATAACTCCTAGTTTTATTAAAAAAGAAGAAATATTCATAATTATAAAGAATGTTTACAATCATAAACGTAAACTAAACACATAATTAAGATATTTTCTTATCACCATTAATACAAAAATTAGTCATTAAGATCACACAATATCATAGAAGGAAAAGGTTAAAAATCTAACTAAAAAACTCGAACAAAAGATAAATATGAACATATCTGACTGCATCGATAAATGAACCACAAAATGAATCAAATTACTAAAAGACAACTGACAAACCATAAATCAAAGTCGAGTGACGTGAAAAAACTATCAACGAACGCAAATAACGTATCCAAATCCAATCCGATGGTCCAAAACAAGAAAGATCATCATGACAACAAATAAACATCATCTTGATTAGTCATGACGATGTTAAATCCAACCATAAAAAATAAATTAAAACAAAAATCAATTAACCAAAAATATGCCATAAAGACAAAAAAAAAAGTGTCAAACAAATTTGATAACTTAATTGTAACTTAACATATTAAATTTTATTCATTATAATTTAATAAAATTATATATTTAAATACGTTATTATTAATATAGTTTAAAATTGTATGGAATTTATTTTTAGATTTTAATAGTTTAATTTTAAATAATAAAAAATCTGATACTTATGTAGATTAATTTTTTTCAATTTTAAAATTAGAAAGAATATTTTTCATATTCTACAATGATGTATGGTTTACAAGAAAAATCAAATTATGAATTCCTAACCATAAGAAGGGTAGGAACTGTACTAGTTAGCCCAAGAGTACAAGTGAATGGCAAATGGGTTCTAGAGTATGAGGCACGTAGTAAATTCAAAAGTAGGAAAATTGGTCCCATTGCCAAGACATAGTCGCAGGTAAGACCGATGAATGAAAGACTTTTAAGTATCCATTCAAGACCGATGAATGAAAGACTTGAAGTTTCCATTCAGTTTGGCTTCAACTCCAGCTGAGGATAGACCGAGAGGAGAGGACAGATGAACGCAATCGTTTTTTTAAAAATTTAAAATTATTATATATTTTAATTTTTTTATTGAAAATATATTTTTATCTTATCAAAATTTTATAAACTGGAGTTGGCATGAAGTTGACTTCAGCCAAGCAAACAACTCTCATCTTTGCCAAGAAAACCATCTCTTCAACTCTTTTTTTTTTTTGCTTCCTTCAAACTATAATCTCAAAATGTGGGTTAAGCTTCAAGCTGTTTCACTTTCTTCAATTCTCTCCCATCTGATTATCAGCATCAGCCTTGTTGGCGTTGCCCCAAGATGCTACGACACTGGTAATTTTACCACAAACAGCACGTATGGAAGAAACCGGGACCTTCTTCTCGATTCACTCCCTCGTAATGCCTCTGCAAACGGTGGATTCATTACCGCCACTATTGGCCAGGGCTCCGACAAAGTTTACGCTCTTGCTATGTGCAAAGGAGACTCTACTCCAGAGAAATGTTTTAGCCTTGTCAATGATACAATCCACGAGCTCATGGACACTTGTCCCAACCAGAAAGAGGCCTATTCATGGACAGGTGATTTCTCTGTTGTGCACTATGCAGATCACTCATTTTTCGGAACCTTGGAGCTAGAACCCTCTGTGGCAGTTTATAATACGGGAAACGTCACATCGAACTTAACCGAATTCGATACGGTTTGGGAGAGTTTGATAAACAGTGTGGTGAGGAAGGCTTCCAACGGTTCTTCTAGTCTCAAGTATGCAACTGGTGAAGCGGAACTTGGAGCATTCCAAAGGATATATTCACTAGTGCAGTGCACTCCGGATTTATCGGAGCAGCGTTGTGACTCCTGCCTAAGGCAATCTGCAAGTCGCTATGAAAGCTGTTGCCATGGGAAGCAAGGAGGTGTTGTTCAGAGGCCTAACTGTTATTTCCGGTGGGAAATGTATCCCTTCTATACAGCCAATGCTTCTACAACGGCGTCTTTGTCTCCTCCACCCTCACCTTCTAGTCCTCCACCCCCAGCTGCTAGTCCTCCGCCAAATTCAGTGGACTCCGAAATCAGAAAAGGTAAGTACCGGTCTGCAAGATGCATGCTGATTTCAGGAATAAAATAGGTGTCTTGTCTAAAGGTACTTACAAAAGTTGTTGCCTGTACAGAAGGGGGAGGCATTTCATCCCGAACACTAATCGTTATAGTCGTTCTAAGTGTCATCTTCATGGCGGTGCTTGTCATACTTGGAGTTGTTCTCCCCAAGAGGATCAAGAAAAAGAAACAGGATGATCAAAGTAAGTTAGCCTTTGATTTTCTTTTGTTTTCCTGTTATAGTCTAATAACAGAAGATAATTCACTAATAATCAATCCTTTGCAATGTTTAAGGATGGTGTGTTTAGTTTTACTCTCCTTTCCATTTGTTACAAGTTATGTAACTTGAATGATTCTTTGTTAACCTGCAGATAGCAAGACGCACGTTGAATCTTTGCAAATTGACTTTAATGTAGTGAGAGTTGCAACAGAAAACTTCTCCGAGGCAAACATGCTTGGACGAGGTGGATTCGGTCCTGTTTACAAGGTAATTTAAGACTTTCTGTATGAAAATTTCCATCATCTCAAAGAAGAAAAAAGACAGAATGAATATGACAGTGAATCCTCTATCAGGGTAAGCTTGAAGATGGACGAGAGGTAGCTATAAAGAGGCTGTCCGAAAATTCGGGACAAGGAACACGAGAATTCAAGAACGAAGTCATGCTATTGGCGAAGCTTCAACACAGGAATCTGGTTAAGCTTCTTGGTTTTAGCTTCGAACAAAAAGAAAGGGTTCTAATCTATGAGTTTCTTCCCAATTCAAGCCTTGACAACTTTATATTCGGTACCGTTTCAATCCTTCTACAATACACCTATTGAATATGCATTTTAGTCCTATAATTTTACAAATTTTGCAGATCCAGTAAAACGATTACTACTAAACTGGGACAAGAGGTACAAAATTATAGAGGGAACAGCCAAGGGACTTGTTTATCTTCACGAAGATTCTCAATACCGGATTATCCATCGTGACTTAAAAGCAGCCAACATATTGTTGGATGAACAAATGAATCCTAAGATCTCGGATTTCGGAATGGCTAAATTGTTTGTGGTTGATCAAACTCAAGCCGATACAAGCAAAATCGTCGGGACCTAGTAAGTATCATGAATGATGAGATTTTATATGTTGTTTGTTACATTTATTCATTAAAATGTATATGCATATGCAGCGGATACATGGCTCCAGAGTATGCATGGCATGGTCAATATTCAGTTAAATCTGATGTTTATGCCTTTGGAGTGTTGGTTTTAGAAATCATTAGTGGGAACAAAATCAACAGCTTGACCAACCAAGTAGGAGACTCTCTGCTTACCCATGTAAGATCTCCATACTCTGGTTACGGTAGATAATGGAATAGATGTTGCTAAAAGACAATGTAAGTTCATAACGTCGAACATTTGCAGGCATGGAGAAATTGGAATGAAGGGACTGCTTTGGAATTTGTTGATCCGATTCTGAGGGATGGATCGAGAAGCGAAATAATGAGATGCATCCATCTCGGGTTGCTTTGTGTTCAAGAAAACATTGCTTATAGACCAACCATGGCCTCGGTGGTTCTCATGCTTAGTAGCTATTCCATGTCTCTTCCGGTTCCATCGAGACCTACATTTTGTATGAATACCAACACGGAGACAGCAACGATGTCCGATTCATTGTCATTATCTAATCAATCTGAAAGAAAAGCCATCCAAGACTCTGTCAATGAGGCTTCTATTTCGGAACTAGATCCTCGATGAAGTTCGAATAAGTACTTGCATTGCACATCTTCTGTACTTTTTTTTTCTGTATGATTGTCTAGAAATTCAGTAACAAATACATGATGATTTGAGCACTGGAACCTCCTTGTTGACTGATTCAACCCCATTTCTGAAGCTACAGCTTTTATTCGCGTCTTTGTACCCAAATAGAAATTCGATCGTAATTGATGGTGAATCCTTGTTTCAATAGTTATGATGATTGGAGCGTGGTTAGGTGCGGTGATCGGTGCAGCATATTGTGCGTGTTTTTTGGTGTTGAATTTGGTAAGCTGATATTTTGGTTAATGCTGTGGCTGTCTTTTAGACTTTTCTAGGGTAAACTCTAATAACAGTCAGCAAACTTTGGGTCATTTTCATTTTGGTTATTGAAATTGAAATTTTTTCATTTGAGTTACTGCCATTAACAAAAAATTTTATACGTGACACGTTAAAATAACTCTAAAGAACTGGACATTGTTTGCTCTTTTCACCGTCATTTGGTGGTTTTTCCAATAAAATATTATTAAATTTGATTCTTTCTTTTCTTCAATTAAACTTATTGAATAACATTATCATCTCTTCAAATCTCTTCGTTGCTGAGTTTGCTTCAACTTGGATTGAGAACGGTGATTCAACCAAGTAAGTTCAGATATGGCTTAGTTATTCATGGATTAAGCCTACAAGTCCTTTTCCTGTTGCACAAATCAACATGAGGAACCAATTTAAAGAATATTTGCATGGCGGGCAGATGCATTAAGCCCCTTAAGGGTCAACTGAAGGGTCAAGTGTATCACGATATTTTGAAAATGATTAAGTTTAGTCTAATGCGTTAAAGAAAATGAAAAATAATAAAAGAAATTGTATACCCGTTAATTTTAAGAAAAGAATACTAAATGTTTAGACTTTTTTTTAATTTCTAGATCTGCTACTACTTGCATGTTGATTTCTCGACTTCGAATGGACTCGATTCATCGATGCACACCATCCACCATTGACATTTCGAAACATTCACCACTTCCATTGAATTAGGCTATTGTTTCATGTGGTTTCCATAGGATTCATCAACCGAAATTTTTAATAACAAATTTTACAAATGCTTCAAGGTCGCGCTCCTTTTGTTTCAGGTAACGCTTGTTACCAGCGTCGGAAATAAAAATGAACTATATAGGCGGGAAATATGAGTGACGGTTTGAAAAAAAATACGTGGCACAATCTATCACGTTACTCTTACAATCGGATTTATAATAGGTCATTGTCATATAAACGGTTAAAGCACTTAATCGGTTAAATAAAAATAAGGTGCAACCTATTACATTACCATTGTAACCGGATTTCTTGTAAAATCCTTATAACTTAACAGTTATAGATAATATATGTATATTATGTAGATGTAATTATTCGAATTAAATATTTTTAAAAAATAAAACTTATTTTCATCATTTAAACCGCTTCATATTCTATCATTAAATTTGTTTCAATGCAAATGATCATTATTAATTTATTACTTGTATGGTTTGCATAATTAAGGTATGGCTGGAGTCCTAAAACAATAAGCTCTATTAATCAGCTCAATACATTGAGTACGGCAAATCGGTTGAAAAGTTTGCGTAAGAAAAAGTTGATGAGAGAGATGGATGTAAGATTTTATTTATGAGTGAATTTGTAAATTATTAATGGTTGAAATGAATTATTAAATTATATATATTACATAAATAAATTATCAACAAAAAAATAAAAAAAATACTTAAATTATATGAAAATTTAAAAATTTCAATACATCATTTCAAACCAAAATTAAATCTAACAATCAACCAATAACTCGATTAAATAGATTAAAATGGGTTCGGAAAGCTCACCGACGGCAGACGGATGAAACCAGTGACAACAAGGTAACCCACCTGTTGGGTTTGGGCGGATGACAACGGTGAGTCCAATGGTGCAGACGATGAGGCGAGACGATGGTCGAGGCGACCGGAATCGAAGCAAAATCGTGCGAAGGCGGAGAGGGTTTCGACAAAGCTTATTTGGCTTCTCCACGTCAAACAATGGCTCCTTTTAACAAATTGACAGAGTCTTTTGGACGCGGTGGTCTGGCGCTTCGAATGAAGGTGGCGGTGACCTGAACCACCGGGCGAAGCAGAGAGCGACGAGGAGGGTTGTCGAATGATCTCTCTCTCCACGCGATGAACGACGGCCTAAACGGATGATCTAAGGGTCGGGGTTAGATCACCAGTCGTTATTGAGTCCGATGGTGACGGCGATGCACTCGACTGCCGACTGGAAGTGGCTGACCAGAGGGGCGATGGTGGGGCCGTTTGGTTTGGGGTTTGGGTTTTCGGGGGGCTTGGTTTTCCAACACACGGGGGGTTTTCTCTTATTTTTATTTTTTCATTGACCAAAATAAATGTGATAATTCAAGGTTAAGTCCCTAAACTTCCCACATGTTCCAAAATCGAGCTACAAACTTTTAAAAATTTGCAATTTAGTCCTCAACTTTCTTTTAATTAAATTTTGGGGTGTTATAGCAACACTGACATTGAAGAAAAATGTGTCATAAACAAATCAGGGTCGAGTAACGTGAACAACCATCCACGAATACAAATAGTATATCCAAATCCAATCCGATGAACAATAAAATCAGCATAATAACAAATATGCATCATCTTGATCAGTTATAACAATGTCAAATTCAACTCTGAAAAAAATAAACTAAAACAACGATCAATTAGACAAAAATATACCATAAAGACAAAAAAAAAAGTTTCACAAACAAATTTCGTGACTTACTTGTAACTTAACGTAATAAATTTAATTAATTATAATTTGATAAAATCATATATTTAAATACTTTATTATTAATATAGTTTAAACTTGTATGAAATTTATTTTTGGGTTTTAATAGTTTAATTTTAAATAAAATAAAAAATCTGATATTTATGTAGATTAATTTTTTCAATTTTAAAATCATAAAGAATATTTTTCATATTTTACAATGACGTATATGGTTTACAAGAAAAATCAAATCACGAATTCTTAACCATAAGAAGGGTAGGAACTGTACAAGTTAGCCCAAGAGTACAAGTAAATGGCAAATGGGTCCTAGAGTATTGAAGGCACGTAGTAAATTCAAAAGTAGGAATAGTGGAAAACTGGTCCCATTGCCAAGACATAGTCGCAGGTAAGACCGATGAATTAAAGACTGTAAGTTTCCATTCAGTTTTGCTTGAAGTTTCAAAATGTGGGTTAAACTTAAAGCTGTTTCTTCAATTCTCTCCTATCTGGTTATCGGCATCGGCCTTGTTGCCGCCGCCCCAAGATGCTATGACACTGGTAATTTTACCACAAACAGCACGTATGGCAATAACCGGGACCTTCTTCTCGATTCACTCCCATCTAATGCCTCTGCAAACGGTGGATTCTTCAATACCACTATTGGCCAGGGCTCCGACAAAGTTTACGCTCTTGCTATGTGCAAAGGAGACTCTACTCCAGAGAGATGTTTTAGCCTTGTCAATGATACAATCCACGAGCTCATGGCAAATTGTCCCAACCAGAAAGAGGCCTATTCATGGACAGGGGATTTCTCTGTTGTGCACTATGCAGATCACTCATTTCTCGGAACCTTGGAGCTAGAACCCTCTAGCGCAGTATATAATACGGGAAACATCACATCGAACTTAACCGAATTCGATACGGTTTGGGAGAGTTTGATAAAAAATGTGATGAGGAAGGCTTCCAACGGTTCTTCTAGTCTCAAGTACGCAACTGGGGAAGCAGATGTTACGGTGTTCCCGAAGATATATTCACTAATGCAGTGCACTCCAGATTTATCGAAGCAGGATTGTGACTATTGCCTAAGGCAATCTGCAGATTCCTATGTAAGTTGTTGCCACAGGAAGCAAGGAGGTGGTGTTGAGAGGCCTAATTGTTTATTCCGCTGGGATTTGTATCCCTTCTATACAGTCAATGCTTCTACAACGGTGTCTTTGTCTCCTCCACCCTCACCTTCTAGTCCTCCACCCCAGCTTCTAGTCCTCTGCCACAGTCAGTGGACTCCGAAATAAAAAAAGGTAAGTACCTGTCTGCAAGATGCATGCTGAGCATTAGTCATTATAATGTTGTCTAAAGGTACTTACAATGTTCTTGCTGGTACAAAAGGGGGAGGCATTTCATCCCGAACATTAGTCATTATAGTTGTTGTTGAGATATGCTCGTGCACGTGAATTAGAGTCCTCATGCATGTCATGCAAGTGAGCTGAGAAATGATGATAGATGTGGTTAACCATCACATGAAGCTGTTAGGAATCAGTTTTAGGGTTGTTAGGCTGTTAGAGTTTGTTATAAGTGTGTTATAAATGTAAGTGTAAGTAAGAAGAATAGTGAGCTGATTTAATAGAGAATGCTTTTCTCATTCAATTCTGTTAGTTTATGTACTGCAAATACTGCATTGCTTAACATGGTATCATTCGCCGGACGTTCCTGAGGTTCTCGTACGTGCTGTACTAAACTCTCAATCATGGAGGTTCCTGCTGGAAAGACCTTCACAAACAAGAAGGTTAACATCATCCTTGATGAAGCTAACTTCCTGCTGTGGAAGCAACAGAGTTAACTGTTCACAGTCATCGACTAGAACGGTTATTAACCGGAGCGGTGTTAGAGTGTGCTCAAAGACCAATCATATGATGATTGTAATAATACATTTATTTACCGATTTTATTGAATAAAGGCATTGCCAATATTATTTTTAGTTATATGTCTATGTTTAACATAAACTGAAAGATAATAAAGTCCATATAATAACATTATTAAAAGATCCATAGTCAAGTATTATTATGGGCATGGACAATAATAATATGCTTAAGACTGACATGTTATTGATTGATGACAAGGAGTTGTCATTGACATAGAGATGTCAAAATTGATACATGATTATATTGTTAGAGAACAATGTATTGGATTGACCCATCATGAGCATATGTCTTGGATTATTATGTAACAGTCATAACATTGCTCACGGTGATAACTATATGTATGATCCTCAGACTTGAGATCAATGTCATCCCAACATATATTGTTGTATGTTTTGATACAGTTAAACATGCTCTGTAACTGGTTGCACTATAAAAACTGTTATTGAATATATCTCGATATATATGTAGTGGGGTGTATATGGTTAAGATAGGATTTGTCCTTCCTACATAATAGGAAATATATCACAGGCCACTTGATCGAGTGAGACTAGAAATGCATGGCCATGCTCGAATAAGTTGATATGTGATATCATAAATTATTCATTAATTATAGTATACTCTAGATATCAAGAAACAATAAATGGGCTATACAAGTGTGACTATTCTAAGACTTGTGACTATTCTAGATATAAAGGACAAAAGGATGTAATACATAAAAGAGTTAATCACGAAGATGATATGTCGAATCATAATTTCTTGTAACTTATGTGACAATAATATATTGCTAGATGTCACTCATTGTATATAATATTATAATTGTTCTAATAATTACTACTAACGTTACAAGAACCTACAGGGTCACACCCTAGGATTGAAATGAGCAAAGATGTACAATTTGTTATATGTTATTAAAATATATCTAGAGTTAAAATATGTATATTTGATATACATAAGATTTTAATTATCCCGAATATATTAATTAAGCATTAAAAGAATGTAATTTAGATTACAACTCTTTTAATTGATATATATATATATATATATAATTCGAAATAATTAAATAAGTTATTAAATAAACATTAAAGATTGTAATTCAGATTATAACCCTTTAATTTATATTTAATTTGAATTAATTAAATAATATTTTATTTATTAATTCGAAATAACTTTAAAACCCCTAAGATGTTAGGGTAATTGAGATATAAAAAGGAAGTAAGGTCTAGCAGCCTCACTTACTTCAGTCATTTTCTCAAAACAGAATTTGGTAAAAAGAAAATTTTGCTCTCAATCGGGTAGAGGTCGAGACGTGTTTTCGTGGAGGTTTTCGATTCGAACCGTTCGTGATCACCACTTCTCGTTGATGTCTTTGCTGATTTTCAAGGAACCCATTGTAAGTATTCACATCATTTCCTCCCGATTTCGGTTTTACGTATTTGGATCGCTGGTGAGACCGTCGAGTTTTGTTTCCGCTGCGCCTTGGGGTGCGCCGACAGTCCCAATAGTGGTATTAGAGCCACTTGTACGATCCGATTTCGGTTTAAATTCTTGGTTGATGCGATATGTATGAGATGCATATTCTAGTTTTATCGATTTCGGTAAATATGCATGATATCATTGTTCGAATCGATAACCATAACGATTAATATCATTGTTCATACAAATTGAAGGCCCATATTAATGTTTTTTTAACAAAGGCGTAACAACGTGTATATATATATGATATGTTTGTTTTGCACGGTGTTTGACATGCATGGTTATAGCCCTTGTTCAATTTACAATGGTTTATTTTGAAATACGGTCTGCGAGCCTTGCCTTTCTATATCTTTGTTGTATTTCTCTTCTCATTTTACTCCCTCGTATGTAAAACGAGTTTCTTTTAAAATTGTAATCCTATGAAGATTCACAAGGAGCAGAAGAATGGCGAGAAGATACCTAGAGCGCAGTCTTAGGCTTTAGAGTTTTTTTGGTTCTCCCATTGGCTTGGGATGGGCCACCTTAGTCATTGTTTTGGCTATAACCATTGCCTCTTATTTATTGCTATATTTGTTATGTATGCAATGCATCAAATGATATAATAAGAATGAATATTGATGAGATCAATAAGGGTCTAATATTAAAACGAACAATGATGAGATAATTACGTAAATCCCTCTTTATAATCTAAGTTAACTTAACCGTCCAATATTTACCCTCATTAAGGCTTCGATCGATTTTGTGTGGGCTTCGCTAAAGCATTGGCACATAAATCTATCTTGGTTAAACGCGAAGAATAAGCAAGTGATATTCACGGGTTGAAATATTGGTAATAACTTAGCTAGGTTATTCTAATAGGATTAGAAACCTAGATGTTAAATATTTGGATAAGTCATGAGATGACTTGAACAATAGTTGTTCACCAAAAAGAGGAGTTACATGAGATGTAACTAGTAAAGTGTTACTTACGTAAATAATCAATATCCTAAAGGAAAATCCAAAGCTGATTTAGGAAATTGATGTATTGTGGATCCTCACCCACTAGAAAAAATTTCGTTGAATTTTTCCGAAATTAAATATAGAGAGTTTTTTTTAATTTTGAATAAAATAGTGGGAGTAATTTGTAAATAAAGACTTATTTATAAATTTTAATTCAGTAAATTTACTTACTTTAATATTTTCATTGTTGTAGATTTAATGGCAAACAACATTTTATCACTGCAATCACTCCTTGAGAAGGATAAACTTAATGGCATAAACTTCCTTGACTGGTTTCGTAATTTGAGAATTGTTCTCAAACAAGAAAGGAAGAAATATGTCATTGAAGAACCTGTTCCTGATGAACCGGTAGCTAATGCTTCAAGAGCTGACAAAGAGAAATTCAAGAAACATATGGATGATATGTTAGATGTTGGATGTCTAATGCTTGCCACTATGACTCCTAAGCTTCAGAAGAAATATGAGGACATGGTTGCATATGAGATGATTCAAAATCTCAAAGAAATATATGAAGGGCAAGCACATCAAGAGAAATATGAGACCTCTAAAGCTCTTTTTCAATGCAAAATGGCAGAGGGAACTCCTATAGGAGCTCATGTCATCAAGATGATGGGCTACATCCAAACGTTGTAAAAGTTGGGATTTCCTCTCAAAGATGAATTGGCTACCGATGTTATCCTGCAATCATTGCCAGATAGTTTTAGCCAATTTGTCCTTAATTTCATCATGAATGAGATTAACAAGACTTTTCCACAGTTACTTGGCATGTTACGAACTACTGAAAGTAACATGAAAAAGGTTGGACATAAGCCCATTCTGATGGTCCGCAAGGACAAAGGAAAGGGAAAGAAAAAGGTAGTGGCAAAGTCTAAGGGCAATGGTAAGGCCAAACCGAAAGGGAAAATGCATTAAACCCCAAAGAGTGAGTTAGCAAGGAAGGAAAATGTTTCTATTGTGATAAGATCAGACATTGGAAGAGAAACTGCCCTATTTACCTTGAAGAGGTCAAGAAGGCAAAAACAAACAGAACGTTTGTTTCAGGTATTTATGTTATTGATGTTAATTTGCCAACATCTACTTCTTGGGTATTAGATACCTGTTATGGTTCTCATATTTGTACTTCTGTACAGGGACTGCAAAAGAGAAGGAATCTGGCTAAAGGAGACGTAGACCTACAAGTGGGAAATGGAGAAAGAGTTACTGCATTAGCTATAGGGACATATGTTTTATCTTTTCCTATTGGACTTGATTTAAATTTAGAGGATTTTTATTTTGTGCCTAGTTTGACTAAGAACATTATTTCTATTTCTTGTTTGAACAAGATTAGTTTTGAGATTATTATTAAGAATAATTTTTGTTCTTTTTATCTCGATAATGTCTTTTATGGTTCGACATAATTGATTAATGGTCTTTATATTTTGGATCAAGAAAACACCATTTATAACATAAATACTAAGAGATCAAAAACAAATGACTCAAATCAAACTTATCTTTGGCATTTTCGTTTAGGCCATATAAGTGAGAAACACATATCAAAACTTTATAAAGATGGATTCTTAGATTCATTTGTTTTCGAACAATATGATGTATGTGAATCTTGCTTGTTGGGAAAAATGACTAAAGCTCTTTTTAATAGTAAAGGTGAGCGAGTAAGTGATTTATTGGGGTTAATACATAGTGATGTATGTGGACCAATGAATACACAAGCCAGAAGTGGATTCCATTACTTCATTACTTTCACCGATGACTTCAGTCGATATGGGTATATTTATCTTATGCGCTATAAATCTGAAGCCCTTGAAAAGTTTAAGGAATTTAAAAATGAAGTACAAAATCAACTAGGCAATAGTATTAAGGAACTTCAATTAGATCGAGGTAGAGAATACTTAAGCATAGAGTTT